GAACAAGACAAAAATGGGACACTTACTGTAATTAGGCTGATGGTGCGTGATGATGCCTCAGTCACAAATTCCACTGCGTGTGTGTGCTGTATTGACATGTGAAATAATGTGTCAAAAAGTAGTTTCAGATTTCTGTTAATCAGTTATTTTATGGCAATCATTGGAAGCACCCTTTTTAACTACTGAACTGCCACTACAGTAATGCTTGCTTTTGTCTCAATGATGAGGTAGGTATCTATCCATGTCACAGTTGAATGTCTTTTATGTGTCTTTACGCTTATGGTCAATTGACCGCTCTAAGAGGCCGTGTATAAATGTCAACTGCTGACAGTGTGTTAACTGTTCTTCCTCTGCAGCATTTGTCCGCCACATCATGTCAGGCTGAGGGCCGGTACGGGCATTTGGTATACCATGAGATGACATCTCCAGGCTTTCCTGCATTTTAGTTTTTAAATAATCCATTCTCATTAGGCTGCCCTAACACTAATCAGCTGTAGCTGCACTGTTCATATTTGCAAGCGGGAACAAGGTGCTGTTGCAAAGTAGATTTGCCCCATAGGTGCCTGTGGGAAAGCCTGGCGGTCCCTCTCATCCTTAGTCCTGAGGCTTTGACCCATGTATAGCCTCCTGCTCTTCTGTCTCTCTCTCCTGCAGCCCTCTGTCTTGGGCCCCTGGCTGCAGCATGCCCCTCTGCATGTGTCGGGGACTCCCCTCAGTTTATACAGGGATATGGTGGATACAGGGAAGTGACTGGTCGCATTCAGGAAAAGCCTGGTGGCCGCCATTGAGTTATTTGAGCTGATGGGTTTAGGAGTCTCGAAGCAGCTCTTCTAAACTCATTTGCATGTCTTTGGTGCTAATTAGATTGTCTTTTTTCCTCTGTTGGTGTTAGAGGTGCTGCTCTTTTCACAGACAGATGAAATAGACAGTTCATTACATCGGAGACATTTTTTTTTACACTCCAATATAGCCACCAGCTTTGAGAGTGGACCAGTCCCTTTTTCTACTAACCAGAGAATTGCAATGAGTCGCTCTTGTGCTGATTGTTTTCTCCTCAACTGATGGAAGCTGAATTCGTAGCTGGCCGCTCTCTGACTGGACTGTAGCTCCCTTGATCTTCTCCCCTTTTTCTCTGCTTCTCAACTAGAGGAAAGCATACAGCGAGGATGGCTTCTCTAACCAGCTCCTTCTGGATCACAGACATGGCCAAATGCTTTGGCTAAATAGGAGATAGAGATGATTACCTCACCCATTTCTCTCAGTACCCTCTTCAACCCCTTCTTTCCTCTGGGTGAGCTTAGTATGGGGGATCTGCTTCCAAATACAGCGTCTCCCACCCAGGCTCTCCAAAGCTGGATGAGGAGGGGGCTATAGCGCCTTATGCTGTAGTTGGAGTTGGTCTCTGCCAAGATTTAGACCATGAGTCTCACGCTTGTCTCTCTCATCTCTCTTTTACAGAACTGGTCAGGATGGTCATGAACGGGTGAAGACGAAGAACATCCAACTTTTTTTTTTTTACCCAGTCACATGCACCCTGTTTTTGACGGTAGCTTCTACATGCCCCCAACTTTTTCCATGGATTAGTTTTCTACATTTAATTTAAGAAGTGCCTTTACATTCCCCACATAAGACCACTTTTCACATGCGTGACCAACTTATATGCATTCAGGAGTCTTAATGCTTGTGTTGTTTGCAATAACATTCCAAGATGCAGCTCTTAAGACATAAATTTATTGATATACTGTAAATGTTGATACTTGTGTGTCAATGTTTGATGGGACAATAAAATATATGGTATATACAGTATACATAACTGTCGGCAACCTACTGTATTATTGGCAAAGACTTGCTTTGGCTGAGGAACGTGTTCCTCTGATCCTGTGGTAAATCGGTATATTTAAAGCCATACTATCATGAGGTAGAAAGAAACATTTCAACGTGGTTCCCATGTTTTTAAGTCACCCAATTATGTTGCTGTATTAAATAAATGTTTTTCCTGACACCTCATCATCTGTGTTTTGAGCAGGGTTTTTTTTCCATTCGATGAAATAAGGTGAAAAATGTGTCACTGACTTGTCTTGACACAAGAGGGCAGTGTTGCTGCTGAAATCTGGTATGGTAAAGGGGCCGCTTTACTGTCACGATATTCAGGAGTCGTATCTTGATCTGTTCGTTATGCCTTTTCTTTCTTTTTTTTTTAAATGTCGAATTGAAAGTACATCATGAGTGTAAGCTGTGGTGCTCAAGTCAATATAAACTATTATTGCCTGAGACAATTTAGGGTTTCTTCTATTGGTTGCATTTGTTTAGTATCATTGCAAGCTCAAATTGTAGCCCAAAAATATTTCATTGTGCATATTTTGTAGACATGCTGTAAATGTTCTGAGTAATGATTGGGTGACAAAGCACGAGGATATGAGCAGTAGAAGGCTGTTTGGTGGCTTCCTGACCTTTTCTTCATTTTCCTCACAGGCAGCCACAACTATTTCCCCTCATTAGGCACCACAGCTATTGGAGTGTGGAGCTTATGTGTGTGGGGTAGGGTTCAGGAGGGTGTCATAGTCCACTGCTGAATAGGTTGTCCACTAATTACTCGGTGTGTGTGTGTGTGTATGTGTGTGGTCGATGGAAGTCAAGGCTATTGATTATTTTAATCCTCCTATTTGTGAGTCTGTGATCCTCGTGGCTCTGCATTCGACAGGGGAATCACTAATGGGCCTCAGCGCAGCCTGTCTCAGACCTCTCCCCGTCCAATTAACTTTCAACTGGAATCTGCCAGGAGAGAGAGCCGGGGGCTGGGCCCAGGCGTGGCACGGCTACATCCCTCTTTCTCCGCTCAGGAGCAACAGATTTGCCAAATCCTTTAAGTCTAGAATGCCATCAGCTCTCTGCTCTAATTAGACACTTTCTTTTTGCCTGTAATCTAAGAGTTATTCAAGATTTCATTCTCTTTAACATGGAGATGACACCTCTCTCTGCCTGGTTTAGAAACCGTTAAAAGTGGCGATACTAACAATTATGATTACTTGAATATACTGGTGACATTAACTGTAGAAAACGACGTGAAGTGTGGGCATATTCACCAAGTGACTGGTTTCTCAATTGCAAATAGTTGGGACTTTTCAGCAGTGTTAGGTACAATTGCTTTTGCGCAATTATGCATTGTGAAATGACACCCAGAGTTGCAATATATGCAGTGTTTTTAACTCCTGTCAGGCCATGTTTGACTAAGTTTTTACATTTCTAAGGAAACTTAGACTGCAAATTTTTCCCAAAGAGCTCTCTCTTTAAGGTAATTGTGAGCCAATTAAATAGCAAAAACAGCCCTGAATTCCTGTGACCTTTCTTCTTTTATTTTATTAAAAAAAATGCTGATTAATGCTGATTATTAACACAAAGACAAAGGAACAGAACAACGGGTTTGGTTTGCAGTCAACCGATGAAATGAAAATTAATCAGCAACTATTTTGATGAACAATTTTTCATCATTTATCAAAACAAATTTCATCCAAAAATCCACAAGCTCCAGCTGTACAAATGTGATCATTGGCTTTTTTCTTCTTTTATATTCCTCCTTTGTCTTATATGGTATTAATCTGAGTGTCTTTGGATTTTGGGGTGTTGGGCAGATGCAACAACATGTTTTAAAAAAGTCAAATAGCACTCTGGGAAATTGTGATGAAACATTAACATTTTAAAGTTTATTTTTTACCAAACAATTAATTGATTATTCCGGGAAATAATAGATGAATCAGTAGTAGAAACAGTGATTAATTGTAGCTCCTAGTTTGCTTAATCAAATTTAGGAAGTGACAAAGTGAGGTATTTTATTTTCCAAAGCACTGTAAATATAGTTGTTGTATTCAGAAATATAAATTCACTCAGGCTAGATAAGCTGGTTTGTTTGAATGAGAGAGCACTTCCGTAAAATCACTGTAGGATTATCAATAAATTGAGAGAATTGTACCAGTAATATTTAAAGCACAAATTCCCTGGCTGTATTTGTTGTTATTGGTGTCCTCTCTAACAAATGATCTTGCTTGAAAATTCTGATGAACAATATCGATCCTTACCAAACCCTGAGCCAGTTTGGTTTGCGCAATTGATCACCATATTGTTCTATTTAAAATGTATACATCCACTGGATTTTGTAGATCCTGGGTGTATTATAAGCTGAGATCAATATAGCGATATTAATGTTTGTGTCTTAGACAGTGTCTTAAGACATATTGGAAATCCATGGTGTAGCAGGCAGTGGCTGTAGTCAGCTTCGATCTCGGCTGTAAGTCCACGCAGCCATGTCATATATCCAATTCTCCACAGTCAGTCCAAGTGGTCACTTCAAATAAAGCTGAACCAGGGTCTGCGTGTGTTAATGATGGCAGGGTGTACACGCCTTTATTCAGCCCTGCCTCACACACACGCCAAAACAACATGCAGGAACACAGACAAGGTAGGTATAGATACTTTAATAGCAACTTTCCACTCAGCCTATATTCAACATACCAGATAGCCCATCTCAGGAGTACTGTTTATACATATGATGATACTTTAACAGGGTCTCTCAAAAATAAAGTACTAAGTAGGTATGGCAGTGTAATTACAGTAACGTGCCTGTAATGTATTGTACAACATTTAATGTAAGTAAAACACTGCAGCTGTTACTTTCACTGCCTCATTATATTACAGTATCTATAGATCCACTCACACCCACACACTCACTCACACACACACGCACACACACAATATTGTCAATAATGCACTTGGCAATTTAAACTTCATCACACACAAGTGCCATCCATAAAATGTGTTGCCCTGTAACATGTTTTGTTTAATCTCGCTATGTGATGTCCTGCGTCATGATGGAAACAGGAAAGAAAGGTCAAACATCTGTGTTTATTCAGATGGCCTTGTTTTAATCAGTACGGCCCCGATGCATGGGGAATCACAACAGGGGTTTAATTTCATCTGGTGTAATTTACTTTAGGGAGAAATATCTGTTACAGTGATGGGTTGCAAAATGTAGGCAGGCCATTTCGATCAGAGGTCACTGGGATGGAGAGCAGAAATGTGTAAGGTAAAGACTGGAGTACAGCAGTTGTGTGTTTGCCTCGGCTTAGTCATCTTGTTTAATGGCACCCTCAACACCATTATTGCATTAAAACACAATTAGACTGATGGTGTTTGTTATATTCTAGTCGTCACAATGTCAGTTAATATGGAAAACATTAAAGTATTTTAGATATTTCAGAGCCACAACGTGCAATTGTTATGTGCACCTATACTGTACATCTTCTGATATTCATATTTGCACAAAAGGCGACAATAGTTGCAGGTGCTCGTGATGATTGGCTCAAAATCACACAGCTCGGCTTAATTCCACTTATCTCTGATTTTCACTCCATCCACGCTTCTGTAGTCTGTTGTAATCTCAGGATGTCTGTATGTGTTTGCTTGCATTTGTGTGTGTGTGTTTTTGTGTGTACATGCAGGCATCGTGCGTGTGCATGTCTGTGTGTGTGCATTAATTTGCATACGTACATGTCGTGTGGATATGTCTATGTGTGTGTGTGTGTGTGTGTGTGT